ATTAATTTGATTGATGTTAATCTTTTTGAAGCTTTAATTCTTTGATTTTAGTGTCCAGGACTAGAGTTTACTACAAGAGTTACATTCACAACTATAACAATTATAGTGGTTTAAGTAGATAGTATTTAACTATAATTTATTATCTACTACTACTATATATTTGGTTCATTACTTACAAGCACCAGTTTTGTTTTTGTTTCGGCTTTATATATAATTTGATTCATTCCCGTTGTTGTTGCTTACAAATGTGTCATGCTTATATATTTTTGGTTCATATGTGTTTTGTTACTGTTTGCAAATTTATATCTAACATTATATTTGATTCATTACTATCGCTTCTTGGTTCATTATTTTGAGTTATTTTTTTTATTTCAATCCAAACCTTAATACTTTGGTAAACCGAACTCCAAACCGAACCGAACCACACCAAACCGAAACAAAACCGAAACTTAATCAGTTTGTATTTGGTACATTTTCTATCAAACCGATTAAACCGAAACCAAACCGAAACCGAACCGAAACCGAAGAAAACCGAACCGAAAACCGAAATGCCCACCCCTATGGTCAACCATCTTTAAAAAATTTACATGATCATGAGTACAATCATGAACTTGTGTAGTTCATATGATATAAAACAAAAACTTGTGTATAAACAAAATCGATTCTTTGTGTGAAAATTCTTTATCACAAAAAAATAATCATGAGGGTATGTCTCTTTGTAGACAATATTTTACAATGCATCGAAGCGAGGAGATATATATTCACCTCCTTAAAAAATCATAGAGATTTTTATAGGATGTTATATGATGTTTTTAATATAGAAAGTATTAATATTGGTCTAATAACGGATTAGGCATAAAATATAGTAATCTTACGTGATTATGGTTCCAACTATATGTAAGTGACATATAGCATTACGGAAAAATATAATCACATAATATGTATAAAATAATTTAAAAAATGCATAATATGATTTTAATTCCAACTATATGTATCTAACATATAGCTTTACAGAAAGTATAATCATATAATCATATAAAATACATGAAAATAAGATTAATCGTGTGATCTTTGATTCCAACTATATGTATATGGCATATAGTTTTACGAAAAAGTATGATCACATGGATGTATAAAAACGGAGAGGGATGCATAATGTGATATTGATTCCAACTATATGATAATAACATATAGCATTACGGAATTAAAATAAAAAATTGCATCTATCTCTCAAAAAAATGGATGGGGCATATCATCAAACACTTGGTGTGCAAGAAATGGATCTAAAAAAAATGACAACTTAATCTAAAAAAAAATCAATGATGTTCATCACAATGATAAACATGATGCAATAAATCATATACATAAGATTCTGCAATGATTTTTGAGTAAAAAAATACCTCAACAGAGATCCGGGAATTGGTGAGTCGCAGGCTAGGAAGGGGGGAGGTCGGGCGACGATCGGTGCGTTGGGAGGCGGCCAAGCGTGGCTGGATTGCTGGCGGCGCGGCTGGACTGCTGGAGGTGTGGCTGCGGATTGAGTGTAGGGAGAATGAGAGAAAAAATAGGTTTAGGGCTACGTGCTGATAACGTGTTGTAGGGAAGTGAGAGAGGTGTGTTCATTCCATTAGTAAGCCCCCTTTAAATAGGAGGGATTAAGGTTTTACAAGGAATGAGTCAATGGACCAATTAGCTCAATACATATAATTCCTAGATACACTTTCTATCTATAATGAATGCAAATTAAAGTAATTTCCTTCAACATAAAACAATATTATTAGGAGTGAAATATGTGAGAGAAAAAGTGAGTTTCTTTAAAATAGATAATTCATACTTGATAATTTAGACTCCTTTAGTTGTTCTACATGTTAGACAACTAATACATGATACTCATCAATATTTGGGTTGTGGAATAAAATGAAAATTACTATTATTTGGACTACGTATTGAATTCATGGTAGACTCACTAACCCACTAGGCCACTACAACATACTATCTACTACGTACAATTTTGAATTCGGGACAACGGGACGGAATGAGACATATTTACTTGCCCTAGTCTCATTTTGTTTTAAAACGGTTTGGGACCGGAACGAAACAAAATTAATTTGACCCGAATTTAAGATGTTTTCTTTTGGACCGTTTTCAATCCTAGATCAAACCAGACCACATCAGACCATACCAGACCATTCCAGACTAGACCAGACCGGACCAGATCAGACCAGACTAGATTTCCGTAGTTATAAAATACACAGAGACCAGAAATTTACCAGACCAGACTAGACCAGACCAGTTCAGACCAGACCAGGGAAGAAAAGATCAGACCAGACTAGACCAGACCAGACCAATAAATTTCAGTCCAAAAGAAAACATCCTTAAGGGGGCAATTTCAGAACGGAACCTGAACGGACCAACGAGATCGGGTATTTTGCCCAGCCCTAAAATACATAGAGACCAAACATTTATCGGACCAGACCAGTTCAGATTATAACAATCTTAAATAGACGAAATCAGACCAGCAAATTTCAATCCAAATAAAAACATACTAACCGTACATTGCTTATATATGTAAAAGGTTTTCCCAAGAAGGAAATAAAACAAGACTACATACATGGCAACCGAGGAAGTAGCTAATAAAGCACTTTTGAATACTTTTTTAAATTTCATGGTTTGGATTTGATTATTCAACCGAGGAAAAATATTTTTAATAAAAAATATTAATTAAAGAAAGAAATATTTAAAAATTATGATGAAAAATCAATTTACTACGGCAATATGTCATTATATTATATAATGATTATACGGATGAGGTTGTAATAACAAAAGAGAGAATGACCTAAATATTACTAGTGGAGTTTGAGAAGAAAAAAATATGACCACTTCTTGTTTGGACCAAAAAACTGACTTAAATAAAATCACCTCCTCCCTCCCCAACCCGTCATTCACCCCACACTGCACCCTTCTCTCTTCTTCCTTCAGATCAAGAGCTCCATGCCCTGCCTCAACTCACGCACCTCGCCGCCAAGCCGCCGCATCGCGCCAAGCCGCCACGCCTCACCGCGTCTCGTCGTGTCTCGCCGCCTCGCCGCGTCTCGCCGCCGTGCTTCTGCTCGGATGTCATCTTCTTCTCCTTTCTTCTGTCCGAAATCCATAGATTTGAAGGCTGTGCAAATCCGAATTTTTTCTGTCCAGAATCCGCATACCTGATGGCGTCCTTGTTGATGTGTTAGGCTAGTGGTTGTAGGAGTTCGAGGCAGAATGTAACGGTTGGTGGGGGTAGGGCAAGGCTGGTGGGGTTGGGGGAGGGCTGTGCAATTGGTGGAGGCTAATCGGTGATTGTGCAAGGGTTGGGGGCTGCTGTGAGGGGTCGGAGCTAGTGTGGGGCCGTGGGGGTGGGGGATGCTGGTTGGGGCTGGGGTGACGCAAGGGAGGGGGTTGGGGTTTGGTGGCCGGAGCTGGTAGTCGCCGGCGGTGGCCGGAGGTGGTGGTGGACGGGTTGAAGAGGGGGCTGGGGGCAGAACAGGTGGGCTAAGGAGGTGGTGTGTTGCTGTATTTGTGGAGTGGTGATGGGGCAGGGGGCGGTGGTGGACTGTTTGGGTGGGCGGCGGCGGGTGGCGGGTGGCGGAAACTGTCGTGGTGGCCTGCAGCGGCAGAGGTGGTCGATAGTGGTGGTCGCCTGGTCGGTGTCACTTTGGATGTGTCACTGTGGTCGGTAGTAATAGTAGTGACACGAGCGACGGTAGTAATAGTTGTGACACGGGTGGTAGTAGTAATTAGTGACACGGGCGGCGGTAGTATTGATAGTTTAGCCAGAATAGGTTGTCGGAAAATTTTCCGACGGTTATAGTGAGCTAGTGACATTCAAAAGTGACATAAAAATATGATAGTGACATATAATAGTGACATAATAAATATCTGGTAGTGACATAAAAAATTAGTGACACAATGTTTTTTCATAAATGTGACCTTCTTAGTCACATTTTTGTCCTTTTATAAAAATGGTCACTTTTTTGGAAAATTGCTTCAATTAAGTAATATTCAAGGAAAAAGCCCATAACAAAGTACACAAAACTAATTGCAACTAAATAAATTTCAATGTATAACATAATGTATATGGAGTATGTTTTAACATGAAGAAATGTCATATTGCAAATTTTACTAATTTCAAAAACAGCCCATTGCACTCAAATACACTGCCCTGTTTGTATATAAAATATAAAAATGAATATAACTATGGTTTCTCACATGATAACCATTCATCTTCCGTCACCTAAAAACTTCTGACCAAACTCCTCATTATGGAGTTTGACATCTTGTTCTCCACAATTTTAATTAAGGTTCTAATAAAGGTTCTCTCATGATGTTTTACACACTTTTTTGACTCGAGGTCTTCTCATATTTGAGTGGGTGCCTCGTTGAAAATGAATTTTCAACTTCCAATCTATTAAGTTTTCAACTCATATCATTTTTTATTTTCTAATTCAAAGGCGTATTGAGTGCCCGTTTGGTAGCTGTGATTTTTGGCTTTTCAGGTTTATACGCCATTTTTTTACCAAACATGTAACTTTAGGTTTTAGGGACTGAATTGTGTAATAATAAGAGAAAGTAAGGTTGAAGTTACTTTTCTAGCTGTATTGGGTGAAGTTACTCTAGAAGGCCATTTTAACTATTTTTTCATATAAATTTTTCTTTATTTTATTAATAAAATGTATTTTAAATTATTATTTTTCACAAATCAGCAGAATCAGCCAATACAACCACATAAGGCAGAACTTAATAAATTTAAGCAAAATCAGCCAATACAACCGATTTGGCTATTATCAAACGGGCTCGGAAAGCGGTAGCTCACATGATATTGATTGTTTTTTATATCTCAAATCATATTTCAAATGAGATTTTTCTCTTTCACATTTTCAACTTTGACTTCATAATTACGATCATGAGTACCAACAAATTTGATATATTCATTGTTTTTCATATGAAATAATGGCAAAAAATTACTCCTATAGTGTGAGTGGACATAAATATGAGAACTTTTATTATTTCCAAAAATATGACTTGATCATCTGAGTCTTCTCTCTCAGCGCTCGCACGCTCGCAGCTCCAGGAGGGACAGAGCCTTCTCCTTTGCAAGGCATGACCAAAAAGTGACCAAGCCTTTTTCTCGCATGGATCGTTTCCCTCTGGAGTCTGCATCTGGGTCTCCGCCTCACAGATCTACGTTAACACCACTGTTTCCCATCTCTATTTTACCATTCCAGCACACAACACACATCCACCTTCGACTGTCACAATCATTCCATCGTCGTTCAACCACCACAACCATCGATTGAAATTTTTTCTCCTTCTCCCGTGCCGAGCTTCTTAATTGGTTATTCTGTAGATCTGGCATGTCAACAGTCAAGGATGATGCACCAGTGACTCTGTCGATGCCTTGCTACCGCCACCTTCGTCGTTTCCCTGCTCCCGCACACAAGTCGCCGCCGTCACTGCCCTGCTGCACATCTCTTCGCCGCCGTCGCTGCCCTGCTGCACATCTCTTCGCCGCCTCTGCTTTGCTGCCATGAATTTCGACATCACCTCTCCAGATGCTTGGTTTTTGTTAATTGGGACTAGGAAGATAATTTTGCAATTGAAATTGTTTGCTGAAGTTTTACAACTGAGATGGTTGGTTTGGAGGAGATGTTGAAGGAGGGACTGGAATGGAATGGTTTGTGGTAGGGCTGAGGAAGGGAATGGGCGGAGATTGCTGGGGAGGGGGGTTTGAGGGCGGTGGAGGTGGCTGGTAGGCTGGGAAGGGGTCTGGTATGCTGGGGAGGGGGCTGGTGAGATAGGGAGGGGGGCTAGTGGGCTGGGGTGAGGGCTGGTGGGCTGGGGAGGGGGCTGGTGGGATAGGGAGGGGATGGGTATGGGGGTTGGGGAGGCGGCAATGGGGATGATGTTGGTGTGGTGGCCAAATTTGGTTGAAATTTACGTTTCCGGTAATCATAGTGACATCGGCGTCAGCGATGACATTGGCGGTGGAGATGTCACTGTGGCCAGAGGTTGGAGCAGAGATGATTAACGACACAGTGACATTTTTTACATCGGCAAAGTGACACGTTTGATGGCGGCACAGTGACACATTTGACGGCGGAAGTGACATATTAAAGTGACATGAAAACTGGCAGTGACATTCAAAAGTGACATAAAATCAGTGACATAAAAAAATAACAGTGACATAAAAATCTGGTAGAACTATGTTTTTCCAAATATATGACCTCATTGGTCACATTTTTGTCTTTTTGTAAAAGTGGTTACATTTTTGGAAATTGACTCTAAATTAGTAATATTCATGTAAAAAGCCCTTTTCATATTTCAAATCAAATTTCTATCGGTTTTAAGTATTTTGGTTTATATATTGAAACTTCTAAATATTTTCACTAAATTTCACAACTTAAACGCGCACTTTGTCAGCCACTTAAATAAAGAATAAAGTCCTTCGGATGAAAGAACAAAAATCACTTTCTTTTTTTTTCAAGATTTTTTTTATTAAGGAACCCTTTTCAAATAGTATGTTCTCGTTTTCTTTTGAGAAAATTTTACAAATAGGACCAAATCATGGTTGACTTCCAAAATTAGGATCGGTAAAACTCGTACAACTTAAAATAATGTAGAGTGACAATAATGCCCTCAATTAAACCTAAAGGACATCTGTGTCGCATCATCTATCGTTCCACGTTGTGCGCTTTACCAGTTTCCGTAAAACCTTTTCTACTACTCTTCTTCCAAAGCTTCTTCTAAAATCTTTTCCCGTTAGAAGTTCAAAACAATTTCAGAGAGTTGCTAAGAAGAAACGAAGACGAACAAGGAAACAAGACGATAAAAATCATGAAGAGAAAGAAGAAGTCGGAGCACACAATTGAAGAAAACATAGAAAACGAGAATTAATTTTCAGACGACGATTTCGAGATGAAGGAGAAGAACAAACTGACAAACAAAAAAAGGAAGAAGAGAAAGCAGATGTTCTTCCATGTGGCAAGGTAATGTCTACAATTACTTTTGTATATTATTATGAAATTATGAAATTATTACTACACTAGGGCGATTGAAGATAAAATAAATGAATGAATACAATCAATAGGCTGTTGTGTTCAATCAGTAGAGACTGATCCAGAAAACAGAGGGTTCTTATTAAGGTCTACTTATGGGCATTAATGAGTCCGTAATAAGATAGTAATTTAGAAATATCAGTTTGTATCAATGTGGGTCATATTTGTCCACAACAAGATGATGGGTATGTTGGATGTATTTTGATATTCTTTACATAACTTAATACATTAAAAATGCTTAACTTTAAGTTTAAACACTTGCAGGGACAATTGTGGTATGTTTGTCATCAAATTTGTTGAATTTGTATTGATGGGTAAAGATTTGAGTGAAGTTTTGAAGGAAGACGTTGATAGCTTCTGCCAAAAATGAAGACGAAGTTACTGATGTATGCATCAAGATGGAAGTGGTTAGACCACGATGCTTTGTAATTATTATGATTATGATCTTGGGAAAGAAAAGAACATGTAAAATTCCTTATTTTGGTCATTAAGAATTATTCCTAAATATTGGTGAGGATCGGTTTGACTGTGTGTAATCTTGTTTTTAGTGACATATCAAATGCTTGATCACTTTTATTTAGTGTTAAATTGATTTATAATGCTGGTTGAATTACGGAATGTTGTCCATAAGTAGTGATGGAGAATATTCCCGTACACCCCAGGGGTACCGCGATCGCCGGTAGAAAGCCTTGCGGGTTCATCGAGGGCAAGAAAATACTAAGCCCACATCTGGATCCGACCCCGACCCCGACCGCCGAGGTCGGGGAGCACCAGGCTCAGGAATCAAGTAAACTCAGCAGATAACAGGGTCCATTGACCCCGACCCCGACCTCGAGGTCGGGAAACATCGAGCTCAGGAGCCAACCAAACTCGGTGATCCATGAGCCCGACCTCGGGACATCCGAGGTCGGCATCAAGCCTGACCTCAGAAGTCTTGCTCCAGGTCAACACCAATCAAAGCACCAGGCGGTCAAGTCACCTCCAGAGCGAGAACGGGAGGCAGCAAAACGAGTCCTCTCTGCATGGGCCCAAGCCCCCAGATACCGACCTCAGTAACCCTCGAGGTCGGGAGAAAAGCACCATGTACTTAAGCGAAATCCGCAAGGGCTTAAGTCGTGAGGAAACATCGCCACGTCACTCTCCGCACTGGTGGAATACGCCGGATTGTCTGCACACGATCTCTGGCTGGAATTCTGTTAGAAGAATAAACCAATCAGCCAGCTATCAGAAGTTCTCTCTCCAATCAGCTTTCCACGTGGTTGCTCCCGGTTCATTCAGACTGGTAGTTTGTAAGAGTAGCTTTACACGTGCCCCTCTCCTATTAGACTAGAATCTTTTTACTTGGGCACCAAGTAGTTCCTTTTCTCCTTAGTATAAATATCACCTTCCAACTTGTGGATAAGAATGCTTAATTTATTGCACTCTTCAGACTGATACACTGGGATTTTGTTAATCGAATACCTGACTTTTCTGTCCAGTTCACTCTCCCCTTTTACTTTCATTCTCGGTGGATTCAGGCTACCCCTGGTCCGACGACCCATCATTTTTGTTGCTTTCATTGAGAGCTGAACTGTGAACAAGTCAGATCCTCCCAATTTTCTTCAGATCCACAGCGAGTTTCTCCGCAACAATGGCGGGAAAGAAAAACCTCAGAACTCGACGTGCTGCCACCGCCATCGCGCAGGTGGAACCCTCGCTGGAAGCTACTGCTACTTCCGGCGCTAGGAGGGCCGCCAAGGGGAAACAAGTCGTTGGACCTTCTGTTGATCTGCGTAGCCAGATCCAGCGTACTTCTCCAGATCTGCGCCAACAGATCTCTTTCAATCGTGATGCAACGACAATGCCGTCCGCACAGGTGATCCCACAATTCCAGAACCTTCTGATGGTGGATCCCTTTGCGGCGGTTGGCGCCCTCATCACTGGACTGCAACAGGTGCTCCCCACGCTGCAATCCCAGCCTGCGACTATTGTGGCTCCTCAGGCCACTCGACCTATCTCTCCGGCGAATTCTAGATCTCGCTCTCTGAGAGTAGGCTCTATTGATGCTCCTTTGGTGGAGGAGAGACCGACGCGGATGATCTATCAATCACCCCCTCGCCAGAGGGCGACTCCGGGGATCAACTCTCCCCCAGCACCCGTGAAAGATGTGCCTCTCGCACAACAGGCAGGGACTTCTCATCTCGCTACGGCAACGCAGAGGATGGCACCTCCGCCGCCTCCCGCATTTCCGGCCAGGTACATTACATGCCGTGTTGAATACGGTTGTACTAATGATGAAGGTGTCTATGATGTCACCACTGAGGACTCTTCGCAATCGCCCTCCCTGCAGCAGGATGATAACCCCAATCCTTGGTTTGAGGTGGGAAGGCGTCCCATCTTCTACAGATTGGGGGACAGATCTATGGCGAATCAGCGCCTCTCTGTCAACATACGGGGGATTAACAGGGCAAACTCCCTAGTCCTCGACATCCCCCGGCACCAGCAGCAGCAACAGCAGGGGAGAAGGACTCCAGATCGTGTACCCGCTTTGGAGAGGCTAGGGGGCAATCATTCCCCCAGATTTGCCCCCCCCCCCACACCACCAACAGATGCCTTCTCCCCCAAGGCAACGACGCACTTCGCCGCTGCCCCAACAACAACGACAGCCCCTGCGCCAGCCAAGGCTGTCACTGTCGAGGCGGCAGGTGGAATCTCCACCACGGCGCCAGCGCCAGGAGGTCCCGAGAGAAGAGCAGGCCCGCCTCCTGACCCAACAGGTCAATGAGCTGCGGGCTGCAGCTGCTACAGCGGTACCACCACCACCACCGCCTACTCAGCACACGGCGCGTGATGCTTAGCTGGAAGCGCTAGTGCTCTAGGTTCAGCAACTCCAGGCTCAGGTCAACCAAGAGCCCGTAACGGTAAGGGTAAGGACTGCCACCCCCTTTACCACACGAATCATGCAGGCCCCTATACCCCCAAAGTATAAGGGGCCTAATATTCAGCTATATGGGGGTAAGACTGACCCCCAAGAGCACTATACCCGCTACCAGTCCGGTATGTATATGCTGGGCGCAGACGAGGAATACATTTGTCGTATGTTTCCCTCCACTTTAGAGGGGGAGGCATATGACTGGTTCAACGACCTCCCGGATGAATGCATTGACTCATGGAGGGAGTTAGCCACCCGCTTCCTCACTCATTTTGTTGCAAGGGCAAAGACGAAGAAGCACTTCTCCTACTCGCTGTCCGTCAAGCAGGGCAGAGACGAGCCTTTGGGCAAGTTTCTGGAGCGATGGAATGAAGAGACCTCCAAGGTCTATGGAGCTGATGACAACACTCGCCTGGCTATGCTCCAGGAGGTCCTGTGGACTAGAGGCTTCTCAAGGAGCCTTATCATTGACCCTCCATGAGACTATTAGCGGGTGCTTCACCGTGGGCAGAACTATGCCCTAGCGGAGGAGGTGCACAGCCGCAAGAGGGCGCAGGAAAGTGTTGCCAAACCCAGAAGCAGGAACAAAAACAACCGGAAAAGCCAAAGACACCGTGGGAGGACAAGCCTCGCGACGACAACAATAGAGACTAGAACAGGGGTCACTTCAAAGGCAGGCGCCCCTGGACAGGTCCCAAGCTCCTAGCGCCTGAGGTCCTGACACCACTGACCCACTCTGTCAGCCATATCCTGGAGGTAGCAGATCAGGAAGGGCTGGTGGTTCGGGACCCACGAATCAATGAGATCCAGCAGAAGGATAAGTCTGGCCCCTATTGCAAATTCCACAGGTTCTATGGCCATGCTACTGATGAATGTCACACCCTGAAGCTGGAGATTGAGAAACTGATCAGTCGTGGCTATCTGAAACGTTTCATCCGGAAGCCAGAATCCGGCCGGAAACGTGGCCATGAGCACAGATCCCGAGATGAGGAGCGAGATTCTGATCGTTCCCCCCGAAAGAAGGACATTGGGCTGATCTCTGATGATGATTCGGCCGAGGATAACAAGCGTAGTCAGCGGCGCCGACATGAGGTCAGGATGATCGTTGGAGGGAACACGGGCGGAGATACAGCCGCGCAGAGGAAGAAATGGATTAATAAGCTCTACGTGGGGGAGATTACAAACCACCCACCTATTGCCAAGAGAGCAAGGTCGGATGTTATCTCGTTCACCGACCGTGATCTGCCAGACTTCCCATCACCCCACAGGGATGCTCTGGTAGTGAAATGTGAGGTGGACGCGGCAATCATCCACCGCGCCTACATTGATACTGGGTCCTCTGTTAACAT